AAATTATTGTTTTATTTTTAACATTTTAATTTTTTTACAATTAAAAAAAAATTTTTTTGAGAGAGAGTGCACATACATGCATGTGAGCAAGGGAGCAAAGAGAATCCCAAGCAGGCTCCACACATAGCATGGAACCCAACATGGGGCTTGATCTCATAACCATGAGATCATGACCTGAATCAAAATTAAGAGTTGGATGCTTAACTGACTGAGCCACCCAGGCATCCCCTTTCTAAATTATTTAATGAGTTTTTTTATTGTGATAAAATACGCATAACATTAAATTTATCATTTTAATCATTAAAAAACTTTCTTAATGTTTATTTTTGAGGGAGAGAGAAACGGAGTGTGAACAGGGGATGGGCAGAGAGAGAGGGAGACACAGAATCTGAAGCAGGCTCCAGGCTCTGAGCTGTCAGCACAGATTCTGACGTGGGGCCCGAGTTCATGAACTGTGAGATCATGACCTGAGCTGAAGTTGGACGCTTAACGGACTGAGCCACCCAGGAGTCCCTAATCGTCTTTCTTTGTAAATACATGGAATGCTTCATAAATTTGTGTGTCATCCTTGCACAAGGGCTATGCTAATCTTCTCTGTGTCATTTTAACATTAGTATATGTACTATTGAAGCACCATTTTACCATTTTTAAGTGTACCATTCAGTGGCATCAGATATATTCACAGTATTGTACAACCAGCCGAAGCACCGTTTTAACCATTTTTTAAAGTGTATCATTCATTGACATCAGATATATTCACAGTGTTGTACAACCATCACCACTGTCCATTTCCAGAACTTTTTCATCATTCCAAACACAAACTCTGTACTCATTAAACAACTTCCCATTCTCCCCTCCTCCTACCCGTGGCAACCACTATTCTACTTTTTGTCTCTTTGAATTTGCCCATTCTAGATTCCTCATATAAGTGGAATCCTACTGTGTTTGTCCTTTTGTATGTGGCTTATTTCACTTAACATAGTGTTTCAGTGATAATCCATGTTGTAGCATAAATCAGAATTTCATTCCCTTTTCAGGCCAAATATTCTCTTGTATGTATATCCACATTTTATTTATCTCTTCATCTGTCAGCAAACATTTGGGCCATTTCTCCCTTTTGCCTATTGTGAATAATGCTGTTATAAACATGACTGTACAGATATCTGTTCGAATCCCTACTTTCAGTTCTTCGGATATATACCCAGGGGAGGAATTGCTGGAACATATGGTAATTCTGTATTTAACTTTTTGAGGAACTGCTAGACTATTTTCTATAGCAGCTGCCCCATTTTACTTTATACGAGTAATGCACAAGGGTTCCCAGTTGCTCCACATTCTTGTCATTGTTATTTTCCATTTTTGTCTTTTTATTTATTATTTTTTAAAAGATTTTTTAATGTTTATTTTTGAGAGAGAGAGCATGCAGGGGAGGGGCAGACAGACCAGGGGGAGAAAGAATCCCAAACAAGCTCCGCACTGTCCATGCAGAGCCTGACACAGTGCTCGAACCCACGAATGACCAGATCATTACTTGAGCTGAGATCAGAGTCGACTGAGCCACGCAGGCACGCCTGTTTTTATTTTTTAACAAGAGCTATGCTTGTGGATGTGAAGTGATATCTCATTATGGTTTTAATTTGCATTTCTTTAATAATTAGTAATGTTGGGCATCTTTTCATGTGCCGGTTGGCCGTTTATATATCTTGTCTAGAGAAATGTTTTTGTCCCATTTTTGTTTTTTTGTTTTTTTAATGTTTTATTTATTTCTAGGAGAGAGAGAGAGAGAGAGAGAGAGAGAGAGAGAGACAGCGTGAGCAGGGGAGGGTCAGAGAGAGAGGGAGACACAGACTGAAACAGGCTCCAGGCTCTGAGCCGGCAGTCAGCACAGAGCCCGACGCGGGGCTCAAACCCACGAACCACGAGATCAGGACCTAAGCGAAAGTTGGACGCTTAACCGACTAAGCCACCCAGGCGCC